TTTGATAACTTTTGCGTATTACATTTTTGATAACTTTTGCATATTACATTTTTGATATAATTGTGCTCAAGTACTTTGCTTTACGTTAAAAAATTTGATCGCTTTTGTATATTATTTTTTTGATAACTTTTGCATATTACCGAAAGCTTGCTATAGCAGAGCTAGTGTCTTTGACACATATTTTTCGATTCTAAAACTCTTTCTCATATAGTTACTGTCTTCGAGTACTTTTATATCGTGTCAAAAAATTAGATCACATTTTTGATAACTTTTGCGTATTACATTTTTGATAACTTTTGTATATGACTGAATTGACATAAAGTACTAAAATCATGTGGTACAAAAATGGTCATAGTTACCTATCCTATGATCTGAATTAATTTTTGATTTGAATTTTTTCCAGCATTTATTGTAAGAGGTGACAAAAATGGTCTTACCTGAGGTGAATAGTTAGTTAAATGTAGCAATATACTTTCTGTCAGAGGTATACATACTACTTAATTAAATTGTACAATAATTACGCATATTCAATGAAAGCTAAAGATTTATTTTTCATTTCTTTTTTATGCGGAGTAGTAGGAACTTTCATTTTAGCCTCAAAGTTTCATTTATATTCCAAGAACTCGGCTTCATTCATACTTTCGCGCTCTTTTTTCCAGTAATTTTGGTTATCTGAAGATTTGTATTTTAATATAATAAAAAATGTTTGATGATTGTACTTGTCTATTCGGTCATGAGCCCAGTGAAATTTGTAGAGAAAGCAGTCCAATACCTGAAGAATGTAGTCATTGGAAAGCTACAAGAAGCATATCATGTAAAGTATGTGGTAAATTGACCTTTTCAACTTCTGGTAGATGTCTATCTCATATTAGGAGGCGCTATGATAAACTCTGATCAATGGTACGAGAAAAAAAATATGAGGAAATAATGGATGCCTATAGAGATACGCTTGCATGCTAAGTATATCACGTAAATGCTATCAGGCTATGCTATCAAAAAATGCTATCTGGTTGTGCTATATATATGTTATCAAAATGTATCAATGTTTTTTGTCACCAGTTGGCACCCGTTGCCTCTAGATAAAAAATTAACTGGTGACGGAACTGGTGACACCTTCTTGAAAGTTATGGTTCGTTTTATTTCTCTCTTGATTACTTTTTTATATCTGTCACTAGTTACTCTAGTTAAAAGAGTATATTTATAAAGAAAAAAAAACGAAATTCTTTCATATGGTATACCTATCTTTGATACATACCCAATAAATGGTATACTGTATCTACCTTAGTTGATATATATATATGTCATACTTTCGATATACAATATATACGGTATACCTATAGGAAAAAAAAAAGAAAAAGTAAGGACACTCGAGTGAAACTAGTGACACTGGTGACACTGGTGACACTTATTGAGAACAGTTTTATTTTAACCCAAGTTTCCAAGAAGTATCACAACTACCGATTTTTTTCTAGTGACAAACTAGTGTCAACTGGTGCCAACTGGTGACAACTTGTAGCGGTTAATATTACTATGTATTTTTTAGATACAAAGTATCCTGCTCTACAGTAACCCCATTTTGTGCCATCTTCTCCAGCTTCT